GTAAGAGTATGTTTTAGTGGGTGTTGGAGAGGATGGGGGGGGGGGGGGGGCAGCATTGTTCTTACTGATGTGTTTTCTGGTCATCCATTCTTTGAGATGTAGTAGTACTCTAATCTTCTAAAGCAGAGACTTGATTTTTGGTAAAGCCTTCCCTTGTATTGCAAGTGTGACTTCAGCTGTTCCTCATAGGGATAGAAACCTGCCTAAAGCTGGACAAGGTAAAAATCTTTTTACAAAATCTTAGTGTGCAGACACCCAGCAGATACTTCCTAAGGTGCCAGAACCTCCACAGGCTGTTCCTGTTGGCTCAGTTCTAACATACCTCTTAGCTCGTGCTTTTGATTGACATGTGCGTATCATCTTGAATGTCTGAGTATGTCCTTAGTTCACCTTGTAAACGGACAAATACTGGTACAAGGGGTGGTACAGGCTGTGAGGGGGAAACAGTGGCTGAGGTAGTGAGTAGACAAAGCTGCTGCTTTCTAGTGACAGCAGTGGCTTATCCTGATGTAGAGCAAAAGCCTGTGTTACACCGTCATCTCTGACTCTAGGCTGTAATTGCTGCTTTGGGCTTAGGTGAGGTTTCTTTTGAGACCTCAAGAGTTTCTTGTACTCTCTTGATTTTGGCTGGGCAGGACTAGAGAGGAGTGAGGAGAGGCCAAGACGCTTGGAGTAGGGAAAAGAGAAGGGTGATCAGCAAAACAGGATGCTGGGATGGACCCACATGTCTCAAATGTTATCAGAACCTTGAGGTAGGGAGATATGTTTCCCACTCTTTCATAGAAAGGACAGCTAACACAATTCAGCTATTTTTCACTATAGCTCTCCCTAGACGTGTCTAGCATTTGGAGGAAAAGTGATGAAGGCATTAGGAATTCGAATTGAAATAACGTCTGATGGAGATCCCCTGCTGCTTGAGCGTTCTGAAACTTCATCAATAGGTGAACAACTTAAAGTAGTTTCCTGCTGGAGCTTATTCTGACAGAAAAGATGAACTACCAAACTGAAAACCAGCTGGTGGTTGCCAGCATTCAACAGCCTAATTTCATTTGTCTTATGCATACAGACTATATCATGCCTTATATGGGGTCTTACAGAAACTTGAGATTTAGCGGGAAAAAAAGCCAAGCCTGCAGACATTTGGGCCCTTTAACAGCTCCCACAGCAGGCTGTCCCTCTGTCGGAGCTCTGTGAGTGGCAAAGGCTGGCATGTTCAATAGCTACACACACTGAAATCTGCAGGCTGTGTCATAGCTTAGTTTAACTCTATGACCTCACCTCTGTTCAGCGGCTTCTAGTAGCTCTTCTCTGTGCTTGCCCCAGTGATTCGAAGCGGAGCCCTGGTATCTGCAGCTCCATCAACTGACTCAGCGTGCTAACAAGTCACAAAGGAGCCGTGTTCCCGCAGGACTGGCACTCCCTGTGTTTCCCTCCACTGGAACAGCTTCTCGGTGGCTGTGTTTGTTTCCCTCTCTGTAAAGCAAGAGTTGCCTTCTGCTGCCCAACAGGCAGCTTAATGTAGCAGACCTCACCAGTAACGTACGGTATGGGAAAAAGGACAGTTTAGCAGTGCTGAAAATAATAATGAAAAATACTGTTGGGAAGAAAAAGTGTAATCAGTAAGTATATGAATGATTGGAAATTTAGGGGAGAGGTCAGCTGTGTACTCCCAAAATTCACTTCTCGAGTTCTGGATGTTTCTTCTGTGTTCACAAAATGGGAAAAAAAAGCCCCAAACAATGCAACAAAAAAAACCCCCACCCAACCCAAAACAAAACAAAAAAACCTGCCACACACTAACAAAACAACAACAAAAAACCCCAAACCAAAACAAGAAACCCCAAACCCTTCTCTTCAAACTGTAAAATGAAGGTAGCTCTAATAATTTATTCAGACGAGAATGGGAAGAGAAGATAGATGAAAAAAGCGAAAACTTGATAATTGTAGCTAAAGATGTCAGTGGAATATTCAGAGCCAGTAGAATTAAGTATTCAGATTAGGACAATTAGTGTTCAGAATAGAGTAGGAGGGGAAATTCAAACTTCAGCAGTGTATTTGTCCAGTAATAATCACGGTACAGAAATGGCTGCTGTTTTTAATGTAGGAACAGAGGACTGAGGAGACCTCCCGAGTTACTGATTCTGGTCCCTTTCTTTTGCTGGCAATGCTGTTGTTCAGTTATTACTATAAAATCATTAAGGACTGTTAAAATTCTTTCAGATCTCCCTTTCAAAGAATAGGGCGATACAGTTATTTCTTCTGTGAGTAGAATAGGAAAATTAATTTTATAGCAGGCAGCAGCTGAGAGAGATCAGGCAGCAACTGTAAAATACTCTTGGATGTTCAGAGATGTAACACCAAATGCAGCAAAAGGTGATTTTAGCTGTTACTGTATCTTTGTTTGTTGGACTGTGAGCAAGTCTCCAAAAGACTCAAGGTAAACATTATGCTAGTTTTAGAGGTTTGGAATAAATGGCATGGTAATTGCAAACTTAGCCCCAGCTTAACTCGAGCGCAGGGGCAGAAGGATGGGCTGGGTGGGTGTTGTGGTCTGTATTGAGTAAGTTCTGCCTAGATTACGTGACTGATACTTGCTCTTAGAAAACTGTGCATCAGATCAGAAACAAAAGCTGATGCAGAAGGTTGAGCTGTTGACAGGTAAATGTTACTGTTAGCATGTGACGCTGCTTTTTCTAGGTGGTGTTTTGCACGCTTATACTAACTTTAAAAGCACTGTCCCACGGGAGGTGACACCTCTGCCAGTTCCATGCCAGCTGTACTTCCTGAGGGAAGATGGCGCACCTGGTGCCCTCACCCCTCGTTTTGAAGAGCTGGTACCAAAAGCACTGGGGGGAAGAATCTCACAAAGCATGTATGTAGGCCCCAGATGGAAGACTGGGAACCAGTATAGCAGGATGTCTTGCACAATGCTGATCCAAGCATTCATTCAGATAACTTTCCTAAACAACATAACGCTAATTTGTTTATCAGATGTAATTAGAAACTTCTCTCTGGTTAAGCAGATGAAAAGAATTTTCATTTTGAGTGAGTTCTGATTTTTAGGATGTGAAATCATCAGGCATCATGCAATTTTAGTTAAATATTATTTGGGGATGCTTGTTTTAAAATAGTAACTTTTACTGATGCTTCTACTGAAATAAGGCTGAGTTTCCGGAAGATACACTGTGTGAATAGGAGGATTTAAAACTCTTAAATTCTTTTGCTAATTAAACAGCAAAATCCCGCTGATTTGAAAATACTCCTCCTTCCTATCCCAGTTCTTTCTTATGCCCCAAGTCCTGGCATTATTTTTCAGAAAAGCCAGGCATTCAGAAGCTACTAGCATACTTTTAGCAGATTAAATTGAAGTCATTCATACAGTTTTTAAGACAGGAAGCTTTCTTTTTAGCCTGTTGGCAGATACTGTTTTCTTCAATTTCAGTCCAATGCATTTATTGTTAGTCTTGTAACGTATTCAGAAATACATTTGAGACTTTAAAATATTTTTATCAACTTAAAATCAGATTTTATTTTCGAATGAGATGTATCTTAAATCTGTTTCAGGAAATAAGTATTAGAAAAATCTTCATTGGGTGTTTAATCTTTTTTTTTTCCTCTCCTGTAGTTCTCCTGCCTTTGATAGATCGTATGGGAGATGCCAAAGACCAAGTTCGAGAGCAAGCACAGAATCTTATATTGAAATTGATGGACGAAGCAGCACCGCCTATGGTATGATTACTTAATGATTCAGATGTAGGTCTCCAGTGAGCTTATGACTTATGCATGAGCTTGACTTTGAATATGTCACAATGTTATGGCGACTGTTAATGGTGTAAATGTTAAAGGTATTCTTAATGGATTGACACTAATGCATTGTTCAGCTACAGATAAAAATCTGGCACAGTGCAGTTCTGCAGTTTTTGCATATCGTAGCTAAATTCTGAGTAGATGTTTTCATGTCATGTGGCAGGACTTTGTTAATTAAAGCATGCTTGAAGCAACCTCCTAAGTTTGGGTTTGCGTAATGAGAATAAGTTTGTTTAGCTCTGAATTTATTTTAAAATGAGCTTTGTACTTGAACACGTAGGAGTAGTCTCACAGTTGAGACGGTGCATTTCTGACTTAAAAAAATCTGGCTTTCTAGATATATGACAAACATGCTGCATGAACCTTTGACAAACTGAGACGGGGATAAGTTTCCTGCTGCCTTGCCATCTTTGAGATGGGGATAAGTTTCCCGCTGCCTCGCCATCTTAGGTTGAAGTTTGAGTTAAGCAAACCTTTTTACAGTTCTTGGCACTATGTGGCTTCCAAGTGCTAAATCTTGTATTTCTACTGTGTGAGCCTGAAAAATGTAGAACTGTTTAACAGGATTACATTGTTTGAGCAATGATGTTATTTGGAACTCTGGAGACCCTGGTTGTCACTAGGAACTGTTGTTCAAGTTTTTAATTTCTGAAGAAAATGTGCTTCTGAGTTTTAACTGCAGAAGTTAATAGGGAATGTCTTATTTTTTGTGAACGAAAATGAGGTTCTTTTGTGTGCTAGTTCCTGGCTTTGTTTATTCATAGATGCAGGTTTGAATGTTTGTGCACAGGGACTAAGATTTTGCAGACTTGATCTGCAGTGAGAAAATTGTTCTCAGTTGCTTTGTTTGCCTGATAGGAAAAACAGGTATCATGTTAGGCGACTATAGAAACATTTATCTCCCTTCAAGCATGAAGTCTTTTCTCACATGATTTGGTCACAGATCTGAGTGGGATTTAGGCATCAAATTCTAGCAGTGTCATCCACAAAGACATGCCTTTACCTGTTCATGAGATCTAATTTTGGTCATATTCATTGACAAGAGACATCGCAGCATTTTTTCATGCCTAGGTGCAAGTAGTTCATGAGTGACATGTTCCTGTGCCCAGGATGCTCTGAAGTACCTAGCAAGCAGACCTGAAAGTACACCTACTTCTACAGTAATAGCATTTGGATAAATGCACAGCAGAGCATCTTGGCAACACATTCATTTGAACAATTGCTGATAAAGAATGTGGTGATAGTTTCTTCATGCTAGCCTCTCATCATGAAAGTGTTTTAGACTATGGGTCCATCTTTCAGTTTCTGAAGAGTGGTTAGATTGTACACTAAGGCGATGGAAGGAAGCTTCCATACCCTTTGAAGGTTACCCACAGTGTAGGAAAGAATACAAGATTCATGAGGTTGAAGGAACAGCGTTGTGTAAATAAGAGAAGGTGTGGCTCTTCTGGTAGCTCGCCTAGGGTGGGAGAAACCTGGCTTCAGGTGTCTGCTCTCAGGACAGCTTATGTATCATTAAAAAATTGGATGAAAAGCATCAATCGTCCTCACAACAGAGACCAGAACAGAGAAGCTTTTCCTGTGCCTCCAGCACTGAAATACAGAGTTTCAGGCTCCCTTTGCTGCAGAGAAACGTCCCTTTGGAAGAGCTGGGTGGAATCCTTTTTTAGGGATAAGACCTGTAAGTTTCTTCCTGATGAATTCATCTTGTCTGTTCTAGTGTGTTGTTGAATAATATTTAATTTGTTCTGTTGTCAGTTCCCTTTTCTTGTTTTAAATGTGTTTGGTGGGTTGGCTTTTTTTTTTGGCTTTGTTTTTTATGAGGGAGAACTAGATGTAGCTGGTTATGGGCAGGAAAGCATAAAAATAAGAATCTAGGTGGTATTAATGCATGAATGGGACAAAGGGAGGTTGACGCCAACTGTTGCTAGCAAGTCATGAGAGTTGAAATTTCTAAGCAGCCATTTGAATTTCTCCGTTTAGAAGAATTCAGTTCTTAAAGTAGGGTTAATTTAGTGAAAGACTAAGTTTCTTTTCAGTCTGTTTTGTTTGTTTCAGTATTCTACAGTTACCTTTCTACCTGTATTTTTGTACACCTAGCAAGGAGATTTCCTTTTTTCCATGTTTGTCTGGATCAGTGGGTTAATTGGAAGGATGTTTTCTTCTGTAAAACCCTGTTCTTTGTTGCTAAGCTGTGCAGTTTTGGCAAGCCATATCCTGCTTGTCTAAGGTTTGTTTTCTCTAAATGTAATGAAGTATAAAACAAACAAACAAGAAACCACAGATGGGACAAAAAGATCAAGCAAGGCTCTAATTGGAAAATTTTACGTCTGATACGAAGTGTGCTACCTCATTAATAAAGAGGATGCAGTATTCCCTGCTCTTACTCTGTTTTTGTTAATCAATAGCTCAATCAATAGCTGTTTGTGAGGTTTTTTTCTGGAAAGCCGACTACAGTCGCGATAATTTGTATCGAATACGTTTGAGCAGATTGGTATGGAATTGTTGTACGACAGTGCAATTGCACCACGTCGGGGGTAGGAATGAGGGTGGTGCCCAGGCTGCAAAATGTGCTATTGCCAGTGTGCAGCCATCGCTAGGCAACGCTCCCCGCGGATGCTGGCTGGCTGAGGCTGTAATGGCAGCGCTGCAGCTGGGGGAGTTGCAGTTTGAGTCTGTACATCTGCTCCGAAATACCGCTGAGAATCCCAGGACTCGTAAGCTTCATGTTTACGCTTTTTACACTCTGACATACAGCTAGAGAACGACAAGGAGGTGGAAAGGTAAAAAGATAAACTGAGTTTTTTTAAAGGCAGGCAATGAAAAACGAGTGCGCAAGAAGGTGAGTGAGGGTTTAGCGAGCCAGAGAATCGTACTACAGGAAGCGGCACCAGCACAAAAGGAGAAGCGAAAGCAGAACAAAAATGGAAGCAAAGGAATGAGAACGAGTGGGCAAGAAACAGTTGAAAAAATGAAGAAATAAATTTAAAGCAAAAGTAGGGGAGAAGT